CAACACTGGGGGAGTAATCACTCCCTTATATGAATCTTTATATAAACATCTTGCCTGTAGAAATAATTTACTAAACAATTAAGGCAAACCGATGACAGATTGTCAAATCATTTCATTAAATTGAAGCCTAAATAAATTGCGTTATATTTTAATTTTTAAATAGTGGTTTCTCAAATCAGAATAGGTTATTAAATCTTTAAATGTTTCTTACTGAAATAAATCTAATTAGGCCACCTGCCACGCCTCTCTTGAAAATATTATTATAATTGCCTAATTAATTTTCTCATAGATACTAGTAGGTACAATTTGGTGCTATGGAAATTACCATTTGCATATGACCACGAATGAAATCATTGAGTTTGATCACATAAAGTGCGCCTCCAATTGTTTCTCCGCCAGTTCCAAACAGTACAACCTTCTCCCCGTGGCTGTCGAAGTACACCTGCGAGACAAAAACGTGAGTAAATCGATCAAACGATCGATCAACAGATGCTTTTGATAAAATCAATAAGATTATTAGTAACAAAGCTTCAATAGGGAACATCATAATACCAAAAAAAAAAAAAACAAAAACAAAAACAAAGTAATAGTACATTTAGTCGCTCTGTTATGCTTAACGCTTAAAATTACGTGAACTGTATTAGCTTTCGCCAGATAGTTGTCAGTTTCATCAAGTGAATTATATCATGAACATAAATGTACCAAGTAGCAATACCTGCGGTGAATAGTAGGATTCCATCTTGTCTGGAACCATAGACCAGGTAATTACATGCCCAGTTGCTCCGCTAAATAATATCAATCGGCCCGCATAAAACACATTTGCACCTGGGAGAGAACTACCATGGTAAGTTCAGTGCTATAGTAGCTCATAGTTAAGTAAGAATCTTCTCTATCCTACAAAACGATTTGATTAGCCATAATCTAATATCTAAATACTTAAAAGATTTTGAAAACTAATATCATTTGTGTCGAATAAGTTTTATCTATTTAAATTATCAGCAGTCAAAGTTACATTTAATTAAATTTTTGCCCTACAAAACTAATAATAATAATAATAATAATAATACTAATAATAATAATAGATGGATTTATAAAGCACAAATAGCAAATAAACGGGTTCTGTATGAGCTCGACAATACTGTACGTAGGAAGACAACGAAAAATAGCACAATAAAAAGCAAAAACAAAACAAAACAAAACAAAATCAATAAACACCAAGCTAGCATCTGAACCGAAGTATAGGTTTATACTTTCACAACCAACTTGAGGTCTGTGTTTATGATCTTTGACTAGTATCGGTTAAGGCTTGATCTGGACCAAATAACACTAGCTAGCGAGGTGAAACAAGGAATTTAAAAATAAGAAAAATATAATTATTAAAGAGGCAAATAGAAATCTTCGTAAACTTAGTGCACTACTTTTCTTTCCTCTTGTTTCACGTCATTGATCACGTCATTGATATATTTGTATATTGTTGGTAAACAATAGATTCATAATAATGTAGGTACATCGTACCTGTGGTGTCGTAAAATGAACCAGCGGCGACATATCTGGTGTTATTAGCATTGTGTGGGGTGATAGGTTGCGATCAAAATGAGAGGGGCGCTAGCTGGATGAATACAATGATATGAGATAAATGTCTTAACTACGTTGGTGTAAAAAAAGCAGGAACTAAACGCTTGTGAGTACTGCGCGCATTTCATGATGAACATAATTATATCAAACGATATATAAACAAGTACTGTATATCTGTAAATTGTTGCTAGCAGGCAACATGGTTTCCATAAAATCGTTACACTGTTGCTACATCGCGTGTAGCGATTTTATTGAAACCTGGTTATTTTTCCCAACCAGTGAAATTTTACAATAATAGAGTAATATTATGACTTATTCTATAAAAAAAAAAATGCACCAAGTTGAAATTACTCTCTTCTTGCCGTAACTCACCTGGTTTCCTCAGTGGATCGCCGCCATGAA